ACCTTGATTTCATCAGCTGTCTTATAGATGTATTTTGGAGAAGCTTTYCCAGTCTTAAAAAAGGAGGAATTCAAAACAGAGTGGATTATAATTTTCACAATCAAGAAAAGAAAATTGAAGGAAAAGAAAACATTAAAGACTGCATATTAAATAAAGCAAACTAAATATAAAATTATCATAGAAATATTAAACATTATATTGTTCAAAATCATCATACTAAAGACCACTTTATTGACCTGTGATTTCTTCCACTGGTGGAGCTGTTCTTTGAACTTCTTCTCCTCTTCTTCCTCTTCATCATAATGAYGTTGTATCTTAAAAATATAATTAAGACTTCTTAAGGTCACAATACAGACAAGGATGAAGAGTAAGTCAACCAGCATGCTTTTCTCAACTTTTGCATTATTATCACTTTATGCCTTATATTTTTGAACCAATATTAGACTGTCTTACAAAATGGAAAACACTCTGAGCAGTTGAGATAAGCAACAAACAAGCGAAATGTAGTATAAACAAAAAATTGCAAATAAAAATTGTTTGTATAGGAAACAAAGGAAATYGCACAACCTCTCATACAATTTGCAATTTTTATAGTCACTCCTACTTACGAAGAACTTTCAAAACATTACTTGTGACTATTAATTCCAAATTGTGCTCAAGGTTGTGCGATTTCCTATACAAACAATAATGGGTGCAATGTTTAAAGATCAATGACATAGCTTTTGCTAGCTCTTGTCTTAAGCAAGGAATCACATTTGGTAGAATTATTGTATTTTAATCGTTTCTATTTCAACGGTTACTGTAAAGCCATATATTCAAAAGTTACCGTTTTTGTTTCTGGTCCATACATGCCAAGTGCCCCACGACCTTCTCTCTTAAAAGCTTCAACAGGTTGAACTCTACCCTGAAATTATAAATCAGTGTCATTTAACATATTAAATAATTAATAATATCTTTATACAGGCTCATGCTTTCATCATTAAAGTTCATGGTCTAACAGTTATTATGTGAATACATCCTACGCCTCTTTCACGGTGTATGTCTAAGTATTGTATATACGTGTATATATGTGTGTAACAGTAAAGCAAAAGGTATAACCCCTTTAAAGTCATTAATTAATAGACAAGTATTAATAATAATTATAGCATACTTTTCCTTCTTTTCCCAAACCTTGTCCTGGTTGGTAACCCATCTGATAACAACATAAATAAAGAATTAATATTCATGGTAGTGACTCTTGAAGGTTGTTGTTGTTTTTTTTTTAACACCGAAAAAGGTGGTAGACCAATAAGAGGGTCTGCCGATTTCACCATGCAGCAACAACAACTAACTAGACATAAGACTTTTCTTGGCAACAGTTTGACTGTTAATGGYACATGATGGCCATGATCAATGACAGTTCAACATTTCCACAAGCCTGTAAACCACCAAATAAACAAATAAAAAAAAAGAAACATACCTTTTGCAACATCTTCATACCAAATCCTTTTGTATACTTTTCCCAAGAACCAAATTGTCTATAAAATAATATAAGAAAAAGTAAAAAACAAATAATGTAGCATGATGTATTGTAGAGAGAAGTCAAAACCAAAGGAGGAAATAYGTTCTTGAAATTCTAATTAAAATACCAATTGTTAGACTTACAATCCTCACCTGTTATTTTCAGAACCAGRCTGCTGTCTTTGCAGCCCAAGCCCAGMAACCCCGRCCTCCCTYCYWMCCCYMMYCCCTCAGAAAACAGTATACTTGCTTACTATTTGCATACAATCATGTAGCCAAAGCTCAATTCATTGTTACAACACTGATTACAAAAAGACAATAAATTATCTATTATTTAAAAAGAATTGTTCTTCTTTTTATGGTGCATGATTTACTATGATTATGAATAAGATTCTTACTTTCCTCCAGATGCCTGCATTCTTCTAGCAAAGTCTTTTGAACCTAAATATTAACAATAATTAATATACCTAAATCTTTCTCTGTAATAATTTCTACCAAACAAACTTTAGCCATTACTTTCTGAAGTCATTAAAGAACTGAGAACTAAAACTTCAATAATCGTCTCTTTTTAGTGGATTCATTCAMAWAMATGACAGACTTACTTGCCAAGCCTGGATTCACTGATTTAAGTCCTTCTTCTTTGAATAACTTTTTACTTTTGTAAGGTCTCCTGGACTGCTCACTTTCCTCGTCATTCTCACTGTCACCACCTGGCAACAAATAAACGTAATTATGACCAAGTTCAGTGGGCCAGGTTTGAGATATATGTTTATCATATGACGCGTATTTCGGCCCTACGCACGCTCTTGAAAAACCTTTGGGAAATGGTCACATGATGGGGGCTGTGCGCCTTTTCACGACAGGGCCGTACAAACCCGTATCGTCCCTGCTTGAAGGTCCACGCGCTTTTATTTATTTATTTTTACATTAAAAAACACTGTCATATGATAAAATGCTTATTGACTGAGTTAGGTCAGACCATATGGGAAAATATTTGTCTCTCGGTCATTTGTACGGCATAGCCTTATAGGCCAAATATTTTCCCGAATGGCCCTCCCACTCAGTCAATAAGTGTATATAGTATGTAATATTCTAGTGTGAAAGCAAGTTACCCATGAATAAAKCCATTGAAAAAATGATTTAG